TGTGTAGGATATCATGGTATTAATACAACGTATTCAAGTATTTTAAAACAGGTAATTGGAATTCGGGGTAAGTAATTCATTAACCAAGTAATACCAATAGAATGTTCACTGTTCAGACCTGCCTTGTTAACCAAGTAATATCAATAGAATGTTCACTGTTCAGACCTGCCTTGTTAACCAATTAATATCAATGGAATGTTCACTGTTCAGACCTGCCTTGTTAACCAAGTAATACCAATAGAATGTTCACTGCTCAGACCTGCCCAGTTAACCAAGTAATACCAATAGAATGTTCACTGTTCAGACCTGCTTGGTTAACATGTACACAGTACTCGTACATAGTAACTGTTTCATCTTTGGTTCATTACAATATTTGGATTATGTACAGCGATGAAGATGTCCTCTTTGAGGATGTCCCCTGTGTTGGTGCTGGTGGTGTTCCTGACGTCCCAGATAGTGGTTGTCCCTCCTATGTATGGACGAGGTCCGACAACACCAGCATCTCAAGCTGAGGGTCGAATGACACTGAAACACAGCAGAATTCGGGTTGTACAGTTAAAAATATATCAATCAGGTTTACTGATCACGTAATATCATAGCTTTATCTATCTACTACAGGAAGCCCAGCGACAGGTTGTGAGCTATTTTGACTTTTGGACACCCCACGGTAGTGTGTATGACTTAGAAGGAGTTTTTGCCAAGTCAACAGTGTCGAGGCAACTCATGGCAGGTTTTACGTTTGTTAGTTTGTTGTTTTACGCCGCACTCAGCAATATTCCAGCTATATGACGGCGGTCTGTAAATAATCGAGTCTGGACCAGACAATCCAGTGATTGACATCATGAGCATCGATCCACGCAATTGGGACCGATGACATGCATCAACCAAGTCAGCGAGCCTGACCACCCGATCCCGTTAGTCGCCTTTTACGACAAGCATAGTCGCCTTTTACGACAAGCATGGGTTGCTGAAGACCTATTCTAACCCGGATCTTCACGGGTCGGCAGCTTTTACGAAGGTATTCTTTACCATGACCTCTGTGAGTGGGTGGGTGAGTATAGTTTTAGCATTATTCCAGCAATACGGCGGGGGATACCAGAACAATACTATGTGCCCGTGACAGTATTAATGATATGACCCTTCTCAAATTTATCCTTGTTTTCAAGATTAAAATGTTATCAATATTAAATAATCTTTTTCCGAAAAAGCTTGAAAAATAACAATTCCTCAATTTCCATTAACAGGTAAAATCGTTGGGCATGCTGTGTGGTTGTGTAGAAAGAAAAATGTTTGACATATTCATTCAGAGAAAACAATTGTTTTCCTTGAAGCAATGACTACCTATAATCACCCCCCACAGCTCGTCCCTCTGTGTGATCTACCTAGAATGAGTAGTACCGTAGTACCGTCTTCAGCAACCCATGCTTGTCACGAGAAGCGAATATGCTTGACGTATCAGGCGACTAACTGGATCGGGTGGTCAGGCTCGCTGACTTGGTTGATGCATGTCATCGTATCCCTATTGCGTGGATCGATGTTCATGATATCAATCACTGGACTCGAGCATTTACAGCCCGCCGTCATATAGCTGGAATATTGCTGAGTGCGGCGTTAATCAAGAAAACAACAAAAAGCAACTGTACATTGTATTGTACTGTAAAGTAGTGTATTATAATAGTGCGGCGTTAAACAACAACAACAACAACAACGACCTAGAATGAGTAAAGCTCACCTGGACCCGGGCAGCAGATTCCCATGTTCAGGTTCGCGGCCCCGATGTCCTGACACTGGTAGGGGAGGAGCCTCATCCTCGTGTTCTTGATCATATCCAGGCGCTCCCCGCTAAACGCTGGACCAGTACCAAGTCCCTCCGGCCCGTTCACCATCCTGAAGATCGCCGGGTTCATCCGACCACGTGTGTTCCTGCCCACGAGGTAGTCATTAAACATATTATAAGGACTGAGCCCTTGGAGTCGAGACACATACATGTTCTGTTGCACGGCGGGCATGGCGCTCTGGGCTAGAACATTCGTCGCGCCTAGCTTGTTGATGGCATAGCGAGAGCAGGTGAGGTTTGCAATTGGGCTGTTGGCGCACCCTGCACTCATTGCCATGGACGACAGACTACCATCAGGCAGCTTCTGGACCGGGTCGATACAGCCGTGGTTCTCGTACAGCTTGATGACGTTCTTCAATAAGGTCCTTTTCCTCTCATACAGCGACACCTGCATCATCAGTCTCGAGTTCCGCATCATTGATCTGCCAGCGCCTGGAGCCCCGGCCCCGCCCATGCTGCTCATAAAGGAAGCCATGCTGCCTCCTGTTAATCCTCCCGGCATTGACATTCTTCCCATGGACATTCCTGCGCTGCCCATTGGGGACATTCCAGACATTGGTCCAGGCATAGACATCCTGCTATTGGTTCCCATTCCCATTGGTATTCCTCCATTTGAAGGCATTCCTCCCATAGACATTCCTCCATTTGAAGGCATTCCTCCCATAGACATTCCTCCATTTGAAGGCATTCCTCCCATAGACATTCCTCCATTTGAAGGCATTCCTCCCATAGGCATTCCTCCATTTGAAGGCATTCCTCCCATAGACATTCCTCCATTTGAAGGCATTCCTCCCATAGGCATTGCTCCATTTGAAGGCACTCCTCCCATAGACATTCCTCCATTTGAAGGCATTCCTCTCATAGACATTCCTCCATTTGAAGGCATTCCTCCCATAGGCATTCCTCCGTTTGAAGGCATTCCTCCCATAGACATTCCTCCATTTCCTCCCATTGGCATTCCTCCATTTGAAGGCATTCCTCCCATTGGCATTCCTCCATTTGAAGGCATTCCTCCCATAGGCATTCCTCCATTAGTAGGCATCATACCCGATGTACCCATGCTCGACATGGATGGCGCCTGGCCCATGCCTTGTCCCGTCTGTCCTGACTGGCTGGCCTGTCTACCTGCCTGCAACTGCGCGGCCAATCGGAGTTGCTCCAGGTACCTGCTGAGGCCAGCCATCGGGTTGGTGCTGACACCTGCCGGAAACAACATATCCCATAGGATCAGTGCTCATCCTGTTAGTCCGACATGGCATGCCAGAGGTGTGGAGGGTAGGGGATATATGGTGTTATGTCCCGACACACATACAGGAGGTTAACACCGCAGCGCCAGACATGCACGCCCAGCGCGTTAGGGGATGGCGAAGATTATACACATGCCAAGATAAGTAAGCGTCAGTTTAAAAGTAAAAGAGCATGCAGGGTCATCCTTGGTGAGATGAGGAAACAGCAATTGGTGACGTGTGGAGGCTGACGTCCACAGTGTTAGGAGACAGAGAAAGACGCGGTAAATGGGATGAGCAGAAGTGCGGCGCGCAGGCTACATGTGGTTATTCAAGGGAAAGAGAGTAAACAGACAGCGAGAAATGGTTGGAAGGTGTTAGGAAAGTATAGGTGCGCGCCGCGCACACGTGCAAATAACATGCAATTTTTTGCATAGATGTAAACGTTATGCACGTGTAGATAGCACGCTGATACATGCAGTGATACACGCGCAGCATATTAATATGCAAGTATTGATATTGTCATCTTTTTTAAACGTCTATATATTGGAAACACTCGTTAAAAGATATACAGTTGTACACAGGTTATGTATCTGAATGATGTAAATAAGCAGTGAATGAAGTCAATACAATTGTAAAATTTAAAAGCGAAGCTGAGACTCGCATTTAAACTGTTTGAAACATTTTGGGAACATTTTTGTGTATTAAGGAATATACCTTAATACTGTAAGTAGTATATATACGGGCGATAGTTTATACACGAACATGATTGTAAGGAATAACATTTGTACTATTCCAATTGAAGAAGTAAAAATAAGGGACACGCTTCGCTCGTGTGCCGATTATGCAAATTCAGAGAGTTACACGCTCAGCGCACGTGCAGATACAAGCACAGCATATAGTGTATCGGTATTGACGACTTGATAATCAGATGTGTCAACACTTGTTCAGAGGTTATATGCTTGTAAATTGTATGCATGCAAATTAGTGTACTTGAATAAGCTACGCCTCGAATTGGGGCGGGGAGTGGGGCACGGCTAGCCCAGTCGTCTAAGGTGCCGCGATTCGCTATGCAGACTTGCGTCCCTTGGGCACGCCAGAAACCTATGATTGTGGGTTCGAATCCCGGTTCGCCCCGATTATGTTTCTAGGTTTGTCAGCACCATACCCGTGCTCGTGGGTTTCATCGAAGTGGTAAACGTCTGTCTCCTGAATCATTTCCTCCCACATTAAGCTGACACGCCGTGATATAACTGGAATACGGTTAAAAGCGGCGTTAACCCGACTCACTCACTCGAAATCGGGGGATGGTTAAGCATGTTTGCGTTATGTGTGGGTGAGTGAGTGTGTGTGGTTTTACATTTGAAAATAATATGAATGTTAAGATATCTATAATAGAAGTCAATTGAAATCAACTTATCGAGGCAGGCGAATTAACTGACTTTTAAAGTCCAGTTTCCACCCTTGCCGAACTAGGCTGGAATTCCTGGGCTCGATCGTAGCGCCACCGTTGGCTATTACGAGTTGTGTCCCTTCTCTGCCGCTTCTATGTACCAATCAAATTCCAGCTCTCGTATCACTTGCATTTGCTTCAAACAAAATGGCGGCGCCCAGTCAACACGATCTGATAGATAATCAAGATCTATATTGTGATTGAACGGGTCTTAAATCGCGAAATGCATCAAATCACGTGAGTAAGTACCTTGATTAAAAACATGAAAAGAATGTGAAAATGTCTGTTGACAACCAGTTGGCGGTGCACATGCTTTGCAAATCCTGCAATCGACCGAAATCTGCACGGCAGTTTACAAACCTGATTTCGATTTCGTTGCGCGATTTTGATTGGACCACGGACCTAGGCAGAGATAGTTTCAGGAAATCTGTATCGTTTCCTTTCCAGGTTATACAAGTCCGTGATTGGACTATGCACAGACTCGTTAGTCCAGCCAAAATGTAACTCCATAATACCAGCCTTGTTCGACAAGGGTGGAAACTGGACTTTTATAGTCAGTTAACTCCCTTGCCTCGGGAAGATGGTTGAAATCAAAGAGATGATGATTATTAACATGTTGGTCTATGTAAACGCCTATATTAACTATAACAAGTAACCGTAACAATCGTGTGCATGTGTGCTCATAGTGTTCCATTCAAAGTTACTGGCACCACAGACAGGGTATATTCACATTGTTTTGTAAATTAACATGATCGCACTTTGTCGTGTATCAGGGCTGTCTTACCTGTGGGCGGGGCATTCTGACCACCTGCAACAGAGAAATATACACATGGTAATACGTTGCGTAATACGTTGGGCCTAATGGAATCCTCTTATTTACGCCTAATGCAATCCTCTTATTTACGCCTAATGGAATCATCTTATTTACACCTAATGGAATCCTCTTATTTACACCTAATGGAATCCTCTTATTTACGCCTAATGGAATCCTCTTTTTTACGCCTAATGGATTCCTCTTATTTACGCCTAATGGAATCTAATGGAATCCTCTTATTTACGCCTTGTGGAATCCTCTTATTTACGCCTAATGGAATCCTCTTATTTACGCCTAATGGAATCCTCTTATTTACGCCTAATGGAATCCTCATATTTACGCCTAATGGAATCCTCTCATTTACGCCTAATGGAATCCTCTTATTTACGCCTATTGGAATCCTCTTATTCTGTTTCGTCGGTAATCGAGAACGATTGTTCTCTTGCGTTGACGATATATATTTACGATACTTGATATTTTTCTCTAAGTCCGAAATAACGAAAAAGTGAAAAAATGTAAAAAATTGTTTACTGCGTTCCCTGGTTTTCACAAAATATCAGAATTCATTCATATTCTTTTAACGTCCGATGAATACAAAATAGGATATTGTTAGTAGTGAATGTTTTTTTAAGTAACACATTTCAAGAGCATCTTCAGCTGCAGAATCTGCTTTACAAGAGGCGAGGGTGGATATTGAAATGATATTACTCAATTGCTAATACCCACAATCGTTCATCATGGTATCCGACAACGATTGCCGGATGGTCATTTTTTTTCACATTAAAAAAGGGAGGCCATTAATTGCATGACGCGTTTTTGATAAGGCGTCGACGCTCGCATTAATGTGGTGACGCTTAAATTTCATGATTAACAGCGAGTGAGTATGGTTTTACGCCGTATTAGCAATATTCCTGGTGGGGGACACCAGATATAGACACATTGTACCCATATGGGGACTCGAACCCGGGTGTTGGATGTGTTGACCGAACACTTTGTTTTACATCGTATTAGTGACCGACTCCGTGGTCTAGTGGTAGAGCGTCCGCCCGGAGAGCGGAAGGTCCGGGGTTCGATCCCCGGCCGCCTCATACCATAACACGTTAAAAGATGGTACTTGTTGTTACCCTGTCTGGCGCTCGGCATTAAGGCGCTAAAACAAGGACTGGTCAGCTCGGAGTATACTGTGTCTGAGTGGGGTATTCATGTTAAACTGCGGTATGGTATCTCAGTGAGCTAGCACTATAAATCGGCATCAGTCCGGACTAGTACAAGCAGCCACACACACGTACATGCACGTCGCTATTCAAGTGCAATAATCTTGGACGCGACGTTAAACCCCATTTCACCTCACCTAATATTTTTAGAACTATCTGCATTATTATACAGCGGCATACATGTCATTAATTTCAATGTGTGAAACAAAATACATAAATGATTGCTCCTTCATGCCATTGGATCAACTTAACATACGAGACGCAATAAATGCTGCTATAAAATATAGGAATTCCTTGTTTAAAAACTGTCAGCGGAATTTCCGGGTAATCTTGTTTATGACAAAACCGGATTTTATAGTAGAGTTTATTGCGAGAGTCACATGGTGAGTTTTAAAAACAACCCCCAAATCGTGACACTGGGACAAGCTGTGACCCTGAATGACCTTGAGTTGATGTACGTCAACATGACGGCGGTGTGATCGGACCGACATCGTCTGTCACATCCGTCTTGTCCGCGACGTCTGTCAACTCCTTAACACCGTAACATCACAGGACATGCTCCATCACCAGGATGGCAACACTGCTGTTTTCCCATACTTATACATATTTAAAAAGGTGTTTAAGAACCTTGAATTTTTTAAATTGTTAATGACATTTTTACACTGTTTTTTTATATGTGCGATGTCATCATTGATACATCATGTCATGTTAGCGAATGTAAATGACCCCCCAAAAAGGATTCTTCTTTGTTATGTAGCTGTAATATTACCTTAAATGACAACATGCCCCCGTCACATAAATAAAGTTCTTTTCATATGTTTAAATCTTTTTTTGACAGTTATAACGTCACACTTTCTGTTGCAAAAAAAACGTCATCATCATTATTCTTTAAACTGGTACTACGCATCTAAATAATCGTGTAGGACGCATCTTAAGCTTTCAACGAGTGCTTTTAACTTCCTTTGTCATGGGGGCACGGGTGGCCCAGTCGTCTAAGGGGCCGCGATTCGCTGTGCAGAGTTGCGTCCCTTGGGCACGCCAGACACCTATGATTGTGGGTTCGAATCCCGGTTCGCCCCGATTATGTTTCTAGGTTTGTCAGCACCATACCCGTGCTCGTGGGTTTCACCGAAGTGGTAAACGTCTGAGACCTGCATCACTTCGGGCTTTCCTCCCACATTAAGCTGACACTCCGTGATATAACTGGAATACTGTTAAAAGCGGCGTTAAACCCAACTCACTCACTCACTCCTTTGTCATGTTTGTTAAGACAGGTAGATCATGTTTATGGTAAGGTAGGATTCGTTATGAATAAATGTTTAAAAACTCTTATTATTTATACAGTAAACTACGTTTATAACGAACACGCTTCTAACGAACTTACCGATATAACGAACTTATTTTGTAACCCCTGCCATTTGTTGTGTATATGCTGTATATATGCTTAAAACGAACTACGGTTATTACGAACTAAAATAGAGTCCCTTTGAGTTCGTTATAACCGTAGTTTACTGTATATAATCTTCAACAAAGCCTTTTTTATTTTCCGAAATACTAGTTGGATGTGTCTGTTTATGCCGAACAACATATCTACATTGGTTGTTACCCCTTGTTGTTGTTGTTGTTGTTGCCTATGTTAAAGTATGGGACTTACGATCATCTTAGTGCTAAGATCGCTTTGGGGAACGGGGCCCTGGTAGTCAGTACACCTGTTAATATATTAAGAACTGTGTTGTACAAGAGTATCACCAGGTTTGCCCCGATGGAGCCGGGAGCGAGTCGTTACAACGTGAAATATGGGAGCCCCTGGACAAACAACTACACATCGTGCACGGCTGTCTCCCCCGCTGAAAGCTTTTAAATTTATGACCGTAATAAAAATGTAAATCTTTCGTCAGCGGGCTGTATGTATTATCTAAGATTATAAACGTCATAGCGAAAACGTGTATACCCCATGACAGTATTTCAAACGTACATTTACCCGGATACCTGTGCTTTGTTTTACATCGTATTAGTGACCGCCTCCGTGGTCTAGTGGTAGAGCGTCCGCCATGAGAGCGGAAGGTCCGGGGTTCGATCCCCAGCCGCGTCATACCAAAAGACGATAAAAGATGGTACTTGTTGTTACCCTGTCTGGCGCTCGGCATTAAGGGCCTAAAACAAGGACTGGTCGGCTCGGAGTCAGTATACTGTGTCAGAGTGGGGGATTCATGTTAAACTGCGGCATGGTATCTCAGTGAGCTAGCGCTATAACTCGGCATCAGTCCGGACTAGTACAAGCAGCCACACACGTGCATGCACGTCGCTATATAAGTGCAACAATCTTTGACACCCCATTTCACCTCACATGACATCGTATTATCTGTGGTGTAGATTGTTTGCGAGCTGAATTATAGATTTTATCAAAAGCAGGAACGGTCACAAATGTCAAAGGAAATTACTTATGAGGGTGGTCTGAAGGCGCCGCAATTCGCCATGAAGAGTTGCGTCCCTTAGTCATGCCTGGAGCTGCTGAACGTTCAATTGCCATATTCGCAGTGATTATGTTTCAGCAAACAGGTCAATGTCTATCATCTCCATCATCTCGGGCTTTTCTAATCATGTCTCGCAAAGGAGCCTGCGCGGCTCAGAAGTGTTTTTTTAATCCAGTGTATAACATTCACGGCCTCAGTAATGTATTTTGGGAGACACGTGGAGGACATTCCTAGTTCTGTCGCATCTGTGACAAAAAGAATATTTGATGCAATTCCCGATTTTGACTTGTGCCATGTGTCCCGTGTTTATTCAGGTGAACAATTGACTTGCCTTTGTATGTGTTTTGACGGATGTCCCTGGTGGGCAGGATACGCTCACCTTTTCGCGAATACCTGGTATCATTACTATTTGATAGTCATTCATATGCACATGCTTATGCTATAGTCGGAATCGTACATTCGACTTTGGCGGAAATTGTTAGTGGAAAGGGTTTTGTCGTTTTTATTAATTGATGGAGGTGAAATAATGTTCCAGACAGCGTTAAACCAAATTATGTCGAACTAGAACTGTCGCAATATATAGGAAACGACTTCTTTCACCTGTTTCAATTTTATTGTACTTTTGACAAGACGTCTCGTAAAAAGGAAGAACTTGTTTCATGCATAATCTTGTATCATAGTTGCGTGGATCGATGCTCATGACGTAAATCACTGAATAGTCTTGTACGGACTCGACTATTTACAATCTGGCGTCATGTAGCTGGAATATTGCCGCGTTAACCGGGAAACAAAGTAAGAGTGAGTGAGTGAGTTGGGTTTAACGCCGCTTTTAACAGTATTCCAGTTATATCACGGCGTGTCAGCTTAATGTGAGAGGAAAGCCCGAAGTGATGCATGTCTCAGACGTTTACCACTTCGGTGAAACCCACGAGCACGGGTAAGGTGCTGACAAACCTAGAAACATAATCGGGGCGAACCGGGATTCGAACCCACAATCATAGGTTTCTGGCGTGCCCAAGGGACGCAACTCTGCACAGCGAATCGCGGCGCCTTAGACGACTGGGCCCCCCGTGCCCCCCGAAACAAAGAAAGTGTGAGTGTTGTCTTTGGTCTTTGAACAAAAGAAACAATGTTCAAAATAATGACAGTACATCGATGCCGCTGAGCAAAGCTATCTTAGCGCTAAGGTGTCGGTTCATACCTTAACATAGACTTACTACAGCGGTTAAGGTTGTTTTGTACAGTAACAGCTAGGGCATAGCCCTGCATAGCACTTATTGTCCTTGGTGAGACAAAATATTCATTT